ATAAATGCAGTTTTTTCTTGAATGGGACGGTAAATAGTCAGAATTGCCGCTATTGGTCCAATTCAAACCCAAGTGTGTTAACAGTTTTTCACGAGGAAAAATTAAATGTATGGGCTGGAATTTTCGGTGACCGGCTGGTGGGTCCTTTTTTTGTACCTGGTAATTTGACTAGCCAAATATATTTGCAATTATTGGAAGACGCTATTGACCCTGCCTTGACTGATATTATTGAAAATGTTTCAGAGTATGATGAAGATCATTTGATTGATTTTTCAACAGGACGGTGCTCCTCCGCATTATGCGTTAATTGTCCGTCAGTATTTGAACTAATGTTTTCTACGGAATTGGATTGGGAGAAGAGTCAGCATTTGAGTGTCCTCCACGATCACCGGATTTATCCCCCTTGATTTCTTTTACCTAAAAAGTAAAATCTATAAAACACAGCCAGCGTCACTGGAAGATTTGCGTCAAAGAATCGTCGACGAATGCCGTCGAATCACTCCGGAAATACTTCGGAATGTGCGCGAACATTTCGAACAAAATCTTTATTCTTGTATGGAAACGGGCGGTTATCAGTTTGAACATTTAATCAACTAAGTAGTATAAGCAACTAAACATAATTTAGATTTTAAAATGTAAATTTTTTTCAAAGTATTGGGCGGAATTATAAAATTTAAAGTATGTTGTAAAGAGAACTGTAGGTAAGAGCTTTCAAAAGAAATATTACTCAACCCCCAATGCCATTTAAATATTTTGGGGCGATGCTTACCCTTGCTTGGGGGTGAAAGCGGTTGAGTCAAAAATACTAGCAAAGAATGTCCCCATTTAATCTAAAATCGACGGTTCTGAGCGTTTTTCTACAATCTTGACGCAGTTCCTGAAAATTGCTCTGTTTCGTTTTCATTTGGCCACCCTGTGTATAGTAGTATGGCGCATTGAATAAGGTGCATTTTGTAGATATGAAATAAGAGAACATTATTTGCAGAAAAAAATTGCGTGTCAAAAACATGTGTACGTCACTGGATTTTCCAATTCAACTGAAACTAAACCTGATGATAGAAACCCACAATATCATACACTAAGTAAAATTAAGAAACAATAATTTTTGTGTAGGTTTTCAAGATAAGACTAAATTTAAGTTATTTTTTTTAATTTCAATACCATTGCCTTGGAAAAGCCCTATACTTATATTGTTTTAATATTTATTTAAGCTCCAAGGTGATAAACCTTGGATCTGAAACAGGTATCATTTTTGGAAAAGTGTTTATTAAAAAACCTTATTTATTTAAAAAAATACCTACATTTATTCACGAGTACGAAATTAAATCTGACTCACAGTACCTAAACATAAAATACTTATAACATAAATAACGTTTGTTTCATCGGTTTTTCTCAGAAAAATACAAAAGTGTTTTAATTATGTTGCTAAGTTGCGTAAATCTGCAGTTCATTGGATTTAACTACAACAAAAAATAACTAAACGAATGTGAACTATTACAGGCAAATTTATTGAAAAGAAAATGGGATACGATGCTATATTGAAGTTAGTTTCCTTTAATTGGTGATATTAATTATTAATCTTAGTACATTAACCAAAGTAATTGAATATTTTTTTCGGACAACGCCGCCGCGATCATTGGAAAATCAACAATTATCTTTCGTCCTTATTTCCGTACATTCATAACCTCCTCGGAATAATCGTTCAAACATGGGGATATCCGAAAGGCCATCGCAACCGAGTCCTTCGTTACTGCTTGGTCATGCGTCGCCCGAAATCTCGTCCAACGTTTCTTATTTGAGAACCTATTAACGGCGATCAACGTTGTTTGTCTAACAATTTGGGAACGGCCTTCTTTAAAGTATATACCTATTAAACAAATACGTTAACACTCCCTTTTCACACGGTTCGGTTGAAATTTCCTCACAAATTTGTCTAAATAAGAAACGATTGAAATGTCCACCGTAGTAGGTGTTTGTTTATTAACTGACCGCTTGTTTAGATAACACTTAAATATATTGTTAATCGTTTGAATCATTTAAAGTGAATCTATTTCAATATTAATAAACAGAAAGGTTATATTTGCTTAACAGAGACTAATTTTTTTGAAGATATTTACAATATTTTTTGCTGTTTATTGCCTGCAAAATATGACTGGAGTTATTATTTTACAAATTCAGTTTTTGGCTTCATTGTAAAATGTGGCTCTCACACCGTATATTTTAATACCTACTATTAACCCAAATAGTAGTAAGTAGGACAAAATTTAACGTAATTTACTAGATAATTATTATATTATCAAATACCTACAAACGTAGCTAATAATGAAACTATCTCACAATATTGCTTTATCTCTTGAAACACCTTTTTCAAGACGTAATGACGTCTAAACAAATTAAAATCACCAGTCAAAGAATTTTTGACGTAAGCAACGAAGAAAAATTAAAACATATTTGTAATTATGCGAAAAATATTACTGCCAAGTAAAAGGGGCAAAAGTTGTGACGAATTAGAAATATTGTCGAAATATATTTCCCTTTAATTAGGTACTTACTCGTTTTGGGAATTAACATGATTTAAATTTATTTGCTGTAACAGATCCCTCAAAGTTTCCCGAATATGCAAACTTTCCCGAAAAATCGTTTGAATGTTTATTACAAATGTTTTAGAAATAGATACATAAGTTGAAAAACGAACTTAATATTTTGTATAGAGACGAACAATTTCGTAAGTTAGAAGTTCAAAAAACGATAGAAATATTATACAAGGAATTTAAAAAGGTATTTTCGGAAACATACAAATTGTTTTGCACAATTTTAACAATTCCTGCAACAAGTGTCTCGGTAGAAATAAACTTTTTGTGTCTTAAGCGCATTAAGACTTATGGATCTACTTAAGAAATATGATGACACAAAAGCACTTAAACAACTTATCAGTGATGACCATAGAAAAAGAACTATTGCAAAGGCTTAGTGCCGATCCTCAATTTTATGAAGACATTATCAGTAAATTTGCAAATTTAAAAGACGGACGAATAAATCTATTTTATAAAAACATTCACTGTGTTTTTAAAACATTTTTGTTAAAATTGGAAGCAAACGAAAAGCTGGCGGCGTTGTTTTATATGTAAATAGATAAGTTGGCTGGCTGCCTTATGAAAATTTGTTTTTATATTTTTTTAAATTTTTTAATATTCATAATCCAAATAAGAACAATTTTGTTAATTGTTAGGTAAATAATATCACTGTATTTTTTGTTCTATTACTTAAATTTATTGTAAACACAATTTTTAAAGTTCTGATATCATTATTAATAATATAGTAATAATACAATTTTTTTATTTACGGTTATAATAGGGCTATTGGCGGAGATCTCCATAATAAAAAATTACGTGGAAATTTATTCCTACTATTACTTGAGCGGATTAATAAAATATCAAAACAGTTGCGTATTATTTTTTATAAAATCTGAATTAAAATCCTGCTCGTGAACATCAGTTTTTCTATAATATTGCAAATGCAATTAAAAATTTCCAGACGCCTTTAGTCGTTTGACCTTGAAAATTTAAAAATTTTTGCCTGCGGCGCCTTTTTTTTAATTCTCACCCACCTAGTAAAAAAAAACGCTACTGCATAGCATTTATAAAAGTTGTGTTATCTAAGTTAGATTTATAACCTTAATATATTTCGATAGGATGCTTTTAAGAATCAGCATTTATTTCGAAAAATGCTTTCAATAAATTAGAATAAGGTGGAATACAAAATTCACATAACTTACCTATTGATTAAAAGTAATACATATTTACAACATTTATATAAAACTTACTTAAGACAAAGGGTTAGAAATCTGTTAATATCATTTTACAAGCAATCTAATGTATAATAATTGTACACGCTTTAGGCAAACACATAAAAAATATGCTAATAAACAATCAGTACTCTGTAAATTTTATGAGACAACTAAGAGAAATTACATTCACAATAAAAATTCCATATATTCCTGCAACTAAATCGATGTAGCTTATCCAAAAAAATTACAATAGGCCCTAAATAAAAATCTTACAAGACAAGAGTAAAAAAATAGAATAAAACGCCGCTTTATCTAAAATATTCGGAAAGCATAGACGTGCTCAAAAAAAATAGGGGGTTCATGAGTACTGCAACAACCAACTCCACCTTCCCTCCCCTACGTTCGCGCTCTGATATTTTAAACCAAAATTACACAAATTTGCCAACTTAAGATCAAAATATGTGCTAAATTTCGAATAAACACCTCTAACAATCACCGGAGTTATCAATAAAAATCATTTTTTAAATTTTAATTTTGTCACCCTATATTTTGAAAATGGGACTCCGAAATGAAAAGTGACATAAGAAAATTCCCATTATTTTAATCCCAAGAATATGTGGTTAACGGCTTGACCTACTAATTTGTAACACCCTGTATATTTCGTAGGTTATTTCTCACCCACGCCCATAACGAAAGATTATGTTGTAAAATAAAACGTTGCTTTCAGTATTAAATTTATTTTTTATTAAAAGAATGTTTCATTACCATTTTTTATTTATTTCATCAAATGAACTTTAACTGTACACGTAACGGCAAATATTTTTTAGGATTTTATTATCCCATACCACTTAAAACGCCTGCATAGGTAGATTTCGTAATTTCAGATGTAGAAATTACACATCTAACTTGTTACGGTCAACGACTTCTCAAAAATCCGTATAAGTTACATTCTGACCACTTCTATTAACATAACGACTTGCATAATGCAAGAAAACCCGAAAACTATCACAATAATATTTCTCTGTAAATCTGAAAGGGATATTTTATCTCTTTGGGTGTGTAATAGCATCCATAATATCACATATTGGTATTTTAGTTTAATGTGATTATTGAATATGGAACATAATTCAACCATGAATTGATTATCAAATGGAAAATATTTAAATAAAACCTCGCCATAAAAGTTAACAGTAGGAATGTAATAAAGACTCACCTTTTTTCTTTGTACATGTGGTAGTTTATCGCCCTGGCCATAAGTAGGGATACCATAGGTCGGATAGCCTTCCCATGTCCATCGAAATAGTAGGTGGCTATTTCGTATAGGTTGTCTTGGTACGTATTCTGCCTTAAGATCTGAAATACCCAACATTAAACAACATTACACAACAACGCAAGCAACAAACGTTTAGAAAAATTTATTAATAATAATAAATAAAAGATATCTGCTATAGATAGGTACAGGGTTATTAGTTATAAAAGTCAGTCCTAGTTAACTTTTTTAGTTTCAAGTTTAAGAAAAGATGTTAAATACGAAAGTTGTAGTTATCAACAAGAACTTTTGATAATGGTACTGAACTTTGTCTTTGTCTAGATTGCCACTCAAAAAGCGTGGCAAACTATACATACGTCTTTTTTTAATAAATCACCCTGTATATTTCTAAATTTTTGAAATCTGTGTTTTCTGCGATTTGGGATATAGGTATGTAAGGTTAAATTAACTTATTTTCATCTTTGGTATCATTTGTGTTCCTTCAATTAAATACACCCTGTATACAGGGTGTTTGGTAAGTCCTCCCCTAGCAGGAGGTTATAGTACAAGTGATTTGTGATATATTTCCTTAATATACCATATTCCGAAAACGCTTGGTTTTCGATCTACAGGTTGTTAAAGATTTAATATAAAAATGCAAATTCATAAATATTGTGGAAACCGCTCAGAATATTTTAATGAAATTTTACAGATATTGACAGTAAACAACAATACATGTTTTATGATAAAAATATTGTTTCAGTTTCACCAGTGGCGTGCGCAGAGGCATGTCTCTAGATATTGTTAAAGAAAAAAATTTCAAATTATTGCAACCGGATTACGCCATGCAATAAATCGATTTTCATTTTATTACTCGAAAATGATGCTTCATAAGAAAAACAGTCGAGATACATTGTCTCTTCCAAATTGAACAGGGAATTCAAAAATAATTTTTATTTTAAGAAAAATCGGTAGCGTATCATTTTTTTCTTCAAACATATCCAAAGACGTGTCTATGCGCACGCCACTGGTGAAACTAAAAACAATATTTTTGTCGTAAAACACGTATTGTTGTTAATTGTCAAAGCTTGTAAAGTTTCATTAAAATATTCTGAGCGGTTTCCGCAATATTTATAAATTTGCATTTTTTATTAAAACTTTATCACCCTGTAGATCAGAAACCAAGCGGTCTCGGAATATGTATATTGCTACAAAAGGTTGATTTACCCAGTAGATAATAAAATTTATTAATGAAAAAAAAATTTATTCGCAAACCTTGAAAAGCTCATATTACAGTGTGGTATTGTTAAAAAAAATATGTGTACTTAACCCGAATCATTTTAACGAGCATAAAAAGCTAATTGCAATTAACGAGTAGACACACACAATGGTCGCAGCTTTTCGCAGATGTGCATCTAATGGGTGTATAATTATAATAATGTCCAATTGAAGGTAGCATCCTGGTAATCGGCAGATAAACAGAGGAGCACGGAGATTTACAAATTAATGTTGTCGGTTTTTCGAGTCAAGGCGAGGACTGTGTCACAACGGACCGGTAAACGGGCTAATTAATGCTAATAAAACGACACCTTCCTCAGATGGATGGGTTTTGCTTGTCGTAGGCGGTGTTACGAGACAAAACAGATGTAGGGTATTATTAAAGTAACGCAATGAATCGTTTCGAATACGTCTAAACACGGCTATCGAATTCGGTAAGGTTGAAGTTGCCTAGAAAAACGAAAGATAACTAATTTGTTAAAAAAAATTAAAGCCACAACATTTTTTCTTGCCATTTAAATGATGGACAAATATGATAAAAGTCTTAGAATACTCTGAAAAAATAATATTTAATCAAACTGTTTACTTTTCAGTATATTCTAATTTTTGGCGAATGCGCCAGTCGTAATGAGTATTTGCAGGAAATATTCTTACTTTGAATAATTTTCTTGAAATTTTCATCTTCTTGGAATCTTTGACATTTGACAATTTTCAGAAGATTAAACAGCTTGTCAAAGATAATTGGATAATCGATGGTTTAAAAACTTATTAACAAATTTACAGGACATGATCGGCAAATATTTGTTTTTGGCCTTTTTTTAATATTACTACTCACCAATTTAACAATGGGCTCATTTTTTTTATTTTCACAAAGAAATTACAAAGGGTCTCTGCAAAAAATTAGAGTTTTATATCGCCTACAAGTCATTCCAAAAAAAAATCATAAACTGACGCGCTGAGTATCCGCTGAACAGGTGGGTGTGACATCACCGCATGGGAAACCGATGCCGCATGCGTGCTTGTGTTGTCAGTCCATTCGGTTAGTCGGGTTTTAGTCGCCTGTTAAGTTTCGATTGAGTTATGTTAACATACCAAATTTTGTTAGCAATATGGAAGACACAGAATAGAAAAAAATTACAAATATTGTATTGTTCGCCAGTATAATAATGTCCACGTAATTCTATCGTGCAGATCTAAAATCAATAGTCTATTAGTCTCTACTGTGATTTGTTTTTTTTTAATATCTTTTATTTGAAAAATTACTTATTAAATACCTATAGGTACTAAGTATTTATATAGAAATACATAATAAATATTATATTATAGAAATAGTAATACGAATTTTGTATTTGATTAGGTAAATCTTTGAAACCTGTGATAGAAACGGTTTCATCCAATTAAACGCAAGACCCTTATTCTTATTTACTATTCTTATTGTACAAAAACATCAAAACTTTCGCTACAAACGTACTTTAAAGAAGATTTACACGTTATTAAAACGTAACCTTTGCATTTTCACTCCTCTCATCTCAGCACTGATAAAGTCGTGGTTTTTATAAAAAAAAATCCATAACCATTAAGAAACCTACTTCTGGCAAATTAGAAGAATCTGCTTTTACGAAATTTGCTTCTATTTTTTAAGTTTAATTTGCACAAACGCTAAAACATTCTGTAGATGCAGAAACTCATCTGGAGGCAGCGCCAAGCTGGCTTACCATCCCATGCGGTGACGTCATTGCATTGCCACGGCTGAGACAAATACACGCATTTTAAAAATCATATAGTTTGAAAACGGTTCAACGGATTGAGCTGAAATTTTCAAGATAGCTTAATCATGAATAATACTTTATGTATACAAAATAAGAACGTTTTTGAAAATTTACTGAATGCTCCCATTTTAAAAGTACTAAAATTATATTCTTCAAAAGGAAAATATGAAAAAAAAAGTTCATAACGAGCGTTCAAATAAAAACGTGGTCGAAGTTGGCTCTGACACATTGGACGTAGGGAGTTGCTTATAGCGACCAACTTAACCTCATTTCTCAACAATACAATCCCCTTGCGGCAAACACTTTAAATCATAATATTACAAAAATATTTATGTTTATGCTTAAAAGTAAGTGCAATTTGTAAGCACATCAACAAAATTCTTTCCACATCACCTGTGAGGTAATGTTCCTGGTGTGTTTTAGTTTCTCCTCTTTACAAATAAGAACAATTTAAATCAAAATAATAAAATTACATTTACCAAGCAACAACAACTAAACAAGAAACAAAATTAACGTTACGTATTTACAACAATTGTTTAAAATATGAATCACCCACATCGATACATTTCTGACATCTTCTGTTAATGGAACTAATTGAAGCTAATATCATGTGGTGGATTTCTTTTAATTCATTACACCCGTCTTCTATTCGCTGCAGTAGTTATGGTCTAGTACTTATTGGAGTAGAGTAAACTTTTCAGATAGGTCCCAAACATAGAAGTCCAGGGGGTTTAGATCTGGCGATCAGGCTGGCCAAGACGCTGGACCCTCTGCACCATTATGGTTGACATTGGGATTTGGTCTTCTACCTATCCATCACCCCATATAATTTTCATTAAACCGTTCTTGTATTATTCTCTTAAAATGCGCAGGAATACCATCTATTTGTATCCAGCTTTTTTGTCGTATATTTAATTGAACATCCTCTAATAATTATTCAAATAGATGGTTTTCTAGAAACTTTAGAAATGACTGGGAATTTAGATGGGGTGGCAAGAAGAAAGGTCCACAAACTTTATTGCGAATTATTCAATTATACAAAGTATTTCTAGTAAGAATTCAAACAACCACTGATAAAAATTCAGGCGTCTCTCTGCATCTTCCGGAAGTAAATTTTGCACAGGTTGTAAATGGTACGGATTTCTGCCATCCTTACCTTATAGAACTTTTCAAATTTTCGATTTACTCATCCCAAGTTGCCGAGACGTTCTTCGTGTACTTAGCCGAGGATCGTCGTCAAATGTTTTTAAAATTTCATTTCTATGCCTTTCATTGCTTCGTCGTGATTTCCAAATATTGTTTAAATCCAAAAAGATGAAAGCGATGAGTGTAAAGAATTTTGTTGATGTGCTTACAAATTGCACTTACTTTTAAGTATAAACATAAATATTCTTGCAATATTATGGTTAGAAGTGTCTGCCACAAGGGGATTGTATTGGTATGAATAACTTGAAAATGGTGAATCTCAGGGAAAAAATTCAAGTTACCTTTTTTACGTATTTAGTGCATTAGAATATATATCCGTTACAATATCTTGTAAAAAATACCGTGGCGTAGGTTTTTTATAAAAAGGGAGTGACTCCTCTCCAGCTGTACACCACTGGTTGAACCTTGAGAGCTCATATTTTAGGGAATACAAGGCCTACTATCATATATTATCTGTACTAAATTTTATTGAAATCGATTAATGGATTCTGAAGATATAAACAAAAAATCAATTTTTTTAACAACTTCAACACCCTGTATCTCTAAAACGAGGCCTTTCCAGACCTATGTTTATAAGGCAAACACCTACTATTTTAAAGAGATCTATCTGCCCTCGAAGTTTCCTGCATAAAATTCGGACCACCCTGTATATTTATTAAAGATTTTCGAATGACATTCATTTAACTATAATTTATTACACCACTTCTACCGCTATCTTCTTTAAGTTAATGTGCAGTTTGGAGAAAAAAAAAAGAAACAAAATACGCCTAACCTAAATAATTGCATTAATTTATTCACAGTTTTGTAAACACGTATATTATTTAGGGCCTTCTAACTGTGTTGCAAGCTGGATAACGTTCTTAAAATATGAGGTAATTCCATTTATATAAGTAGATTTTGAAAACATTTAAATAAAAAAATGTTGTAATTCTATATTTAAATGAAAGTTGGATATTATATACCTACATTTTGAAACAATAATTAACCTTCAACTTCATTCTGATAATGATTAACATGATGTATAGCATCTTGCTGTGACTATCATCAAAGGCATTAATAATATTACGTTTATTTTTATTTTTTATGTTAATCGCTTCTGTATCAGGTCGAATGTTGAAAAACATGTACTTTAGATATGATCCAATAGAATCCTGAATTATCCTTTTCGGTTAATCACTTTGTTTCTTAAAATAAACAATCAAGAAACTCAAGACGAGACATCAGTCCGGTCTGCGGTCACATCATTTAACAAGTGACTTTCTTATCGGAAATAAAAACCATTAAAAATAGGTGATTTATTGTTAAGAGATCGAAATGTTCTTTTTAAAAGATGTACGAATTTAATTATTTTATACAGGGTTCGCCATTAGCGTGTGGACGGAGGATAGATCCTAAGCCTGAAGAGATATTTAGTCCAGAGGCTTGCTTTTCATATTTGCTAATAGAAATAGGTCATTCCATTTAAAAATGTTTAGTCATTTTTTAATTTGCAAAGCTCGATCACTCTGTATAACTAAAGAATAATGACAACACTTTTGTGGTTTCTAAGAAACTGCAAGACCATCAATGATTGTTTATGTCGCAGATTCGTTGAAACTACATCACACTGAGTGTTTACAAATGGCTGCATCGGAGTCTGTTTTCGAATTTATGAGCCTCTACTAGGAAAACGGCCCATCGAAACGCCTATAAATCCTATATTATTTTGCTGCATTTTGATAGGGCTATCCAAGTATGCAAAAATATACAGTGTGTAAAAAAATGCAAGTTTGTGTTAATTAGTTCAAAAAAATGGAAATAATATTAAAACGTGCTCCCTAGATGTAGGTACGCCTCTGGACTAAATTTCATTTTGATATCTCTTCGGACTTAGGAGCTATCCTCCGTCCACACACTAATGGCACTATTAAAATACATTTTGAAAATTTGGGATATTTTTCTTATGATTTCAAAATGTATGTATCTATAATTTGATTTTACCATTTTTGGAACTTATTTCAATTTAAAATTCTCTATTATTAGACAGTGTTAGAGGCTCAGCAGTCGCTGATTTTCAACTAGATATAAGTTGATCCAAATTATAAAAAAGTTTAATAAAGATACAAATTTAGCATATGCGTGAAGTTTAATCGATTAAAATACTTGGCTCCCTGTATATATATAAAAAAATACGAAAATAAAGCTCCTTTCTTAACGACCTATATGTTTTAGGTAAATATCGGTTATTCCAAAAAGCTTCCAACACCAAACAATATCTAAATATCCCTTCTTAGACCGATTATTAACTTTTGAGGATAAATTTAACATTGCAACTCAAAGTCAGTATGGATTTCGTGATATGTCTACAAGTACAACCGTCCAGTAATTTTTAAGAAAAATATACCACTTCACTGAGCATGATGAGCGTCCTTATTGGGATCTTTTGCGATCTCACTGGGGTATTCGACTGCGTTGACCATCAACGATTGATTTGTATAAGGGGTTTGGCTGTAAATTGGGTACAAAATTCAGCCAATATGCTGCCATAAAAACTAGCTCTTCTGTACAGTACACTGTACGGATAGGTGTACCACAAGGTTCAATTCTAAGCCCACTGCTTTTTTATTTTATATTATTGAGCTCTAACGACAGGCATTTGAAAACAAATTCAAATAATTTATTGTCTAAATCAATCGATTTTTTTACTTACGTTTCTGATATACTCGTAGACATCCTTAAGGTCATCCTCCATTACCGTGTAAGGATCCACCTGGTATTCGGGTAGGGACCCAGGCTGGTGGGTTCTCATTGTGCCGTATGTCCGCGCCGTACCCGCCACCTCCGGCCTATTGCAAGGGTGCCAACATGCCGACGTCGCGGTGGACGCCGTCGCCGTCCCGACGAGCGTGCTCTGTGATTGCGCCTGAAAAAGATACCAAATTTAGATTTCTCTATAGCTTTTTTTCCTAAATAATTGGGTAAATTGAAAAAAATCTTTAGAAGAATGATTTTTTTTTGTAATCATTTTATACAGAGTGTTAGAATGTTCTACACTCTACGGGTAATTCTTTGATCGAAAATAACACAATCCATTTTTATAAGCGTACTGACGTTGTATTTTTGAGGTACAGGGTGATACAATATTCTTATTATTTCTATTCCATTCTCAATTATTTTATACATACGTTCTTCTAAGTAATTAAAATTCTGTACCACGCAGCACTTTTTTGAGGACTAATGAAATATATAAATTACACTTCGAGATCATACAATGTGACAGATTTTTTTGAACTAGGAACAGTTCAGATACGCATTTTTTTTTATTTCAGCAACACTGCATCTATTTTTTGAGGAAAAACAACTTCTCTGTTGCATCCCTTAATTTTTTGATCTTCTGATTTTTTGTACATTGTTTCCATCGAAATGTCATGTTTTGTATGTGGTCTGTTGGCTAGCTTTAAATAAAAGTGTAACATGGTGTCAATTCTGGGGACCCAGTCAGTCAGCGAATAGGACTATTGGTACCAGTCCATTATTAGTAAACTTGTAAAATAAAAACATAATTATTAAAATGTAAAAATATAAAATAAATGAAAACAAAACAAATAATAAACCTTTATCGTTCAGCTTCTCAACAAGTGCAGCGTTTGCAAGCTCACATTGATTAACTTTTTATGATTAATTTGTAGAATGCACTTTATTTAGTAGGTACATATTTTTTAAATTCATATTCAGAAGGAATATATCAAAGTTAATATGTAAAAAATTTATTTCTCTCTCAAAACAAATACCAGGCGCAAAAAACAACGGATATGACTATAGCACTGCATAAGCCATTTTATTTCATAGTTTACTTTCTATTAAGTCCACATATTCCATATTTGCACCAGACATAAAGGAGTACATTTGTAAACCTATGTCTGCAGAAATATCATTAAAAATATCGATTCATTTCCTTTTTGCATTAATTTTCAATTGAACTGAGTGATATAGTGATGAATATTTTTTACTCTGCTTTTCTGGTTAAGCAAAAATAGTTTGATAAAAGTAGCCTTTGACTAATTCTTCTGGTACAAAGATTTTTTTAATTAATTAAAAAATACCAATAAACAGATGAAAAACTAAAACTGTATAACGAATAAATAACTTAAGGACTTTGAGCTGTCAGGTCGTCAATCGACTGGTGTGATGTCGTAGATCAAATCAAATGAATAATTACAAAATTTATAATAAATTGCTCATTTAAAATCTTCGTGTGGTGAAAATAAATAAAAATGAAAATGAAACAGGTTAGATCGACAAACATAATCATCCACTAACGGTAAAAAAGGTACAATATATGGAGCTACTCAGTTAAATTATATGGTAATGATTAAATGACATATTTCACAAAGAAAGATAACAAGATCTTCTTTATAATAGGAACCTTGCTTCACCCATTATACGAAAAAAAGTAAAACGGCAAAACATTGTTTTCGTGTCGAGACATCACTATGCATTGTCTAGGATGATACAGTCCTAGTCATCTGGGCCAGAAGAGTTAAAATCCGTGACCAATTTGCAAGTAAATGTATACAAACAAGCATCTTATCAAAGAGCTTTTGCTTAATACCACTTGATTTTATGCTCGTTAAATGCATTTCTAACAGTAATAAGTCGAATTGAGTCATTTCGTACAAATTTTGGTTTCACACAGGATATGTAATAATGTAATCATGATACAGAAGAACAAATGTATGAGGAATTATTTAGAATTGACTTACTACAAGGAGTGATCCAAGAAAAATAATCATTTTTGTAATTATAACAATTATTAATTCTCACAACATTGGTACAGTTTTTTTTGGTGGTAGAACAGACACATATTTTTTATATTCATCATATTTGCTTTAATGGCAGTGGAGAGATAAATAATTTAAGAGTATTTTAATTCGGTCTTATAATGACACGTGAGGAAGAAATTTCTTGGAATGTAGGTATCAAAGATTTTTTTTTTGTAGACTAGTATATCTAATGGTTAAAAAATAATGTATAAACTTTAGTCTAAGACTGCAAGTTTTGTGGATAAATATTGCTCCAACTTTTTCATATGTTAACTTTCTAATAGTTTGAGCTGAAAATTAGAGACTTTGAAAGAGTTACGGTAAAAAGGTACCCACTCTTGTAGAATCAGTTTCAAAATCAATTTGATATTTTAAATTTTAATATAGCCATAATTAAAAAAGTTATATTTACAAATTAAATTATATTTGTTTTACATTTATTTACTGTTTTGTCTAATTGTTTAGGTATATAATGTTTTGTATTGTTACTTGTCTCATATATCATGCAGTGTATGATGTAGTTTTCTGTTTGTACCTACCCGGTAATTGGAATTTCTCTAGAGTAGTGTATTGTCTAAATAAATTAATGAATGAATGAATGAATGAATGAATGAATGAATGAATTAATTAATTAATTAATTAATTAAATAAATAAATAAATAATTTCGATAGGTTGCATCGTTTTGGAGTAACTATACAATTGATTTAAAAAATGTTAAATGTGGAAAATATAGTCCAATTAAATAGGTCTTTAAATCGCAATTTTGGTCAACTTTCCTGAATTTTTAGTTAGTTTTTAGAAATTAGTTTGAGGTATATAATAACAATAAGTGACAGTCATTTTTTTTAACCCCCGGTGAGGGATGAAAAAGATAAAATAAAGGGGTTTTTCAAGATAACTCAAAAGGGGTAAGAGCTAGAAAAAAATAACAATTTCACAAGGCTTATTTTAAATAATCAATCGAATGGCATAGAAAAAAATTGTTTTAGTGTTAAATCTAAAAAATTAAGGACTAAAAAATTGAAATTGTTATAACTTTTTTATTAAAAATTAAAAAATATATCTACATACATATTTCTCTGGAGAGAAAGTTTACTTTTAAGAGTAGATTGAAAAAAATATATATAAAATTAATTCATTTTTCTGCTTGCTATAAATTTCTGAAATCATCCCTTAACTTCTAATCTCCCTAACTCTGTTAATTTTAATAGTACAAGAAAAAGTCAATACGCCATTTTTATGTAGAATTTTATGCTATACAACTTTTGTAAGAAACTTTGTTTTCTATCTCCAAGCCCTTTTACGTTATTTTTAAATTGGATATAATATACGAAACCTAATTTGCGAAAACTCAGAAACAGTATGTAATATGCTTTGAAAACAATTATATCATTTTATGCAAAAAATACAGACTGATTTTTCTTAAAAAGTTGTTTTTGAGTCATAGCTTTCTAAATCGATGTTCAATTGTTTTTCTGATCGCATATTGTGATTTCGCAGGACATATGTTTACAATTTGCCCCATTTAAATATCCCACCTAACTAAGGAGCATATTGCAATTGAAATAATTATGGTTCAACCTGTATATGTATAACAATTATTCTTGTTAATTCTAGATATTTCAATCAATTTCAAATCAACATGTCTGTACATACCGTACTGCATAAGAATATTTATTTCAGTTAGGTATATTTCTGTCTTACTTTTTACTTTCTTTGGTTTTACTATGTTCAGTTTTTGTTTTTTATATTGTCTTTGTCCTGAGATGTAACTACACATAAAACACATTGTCATGAAATTTCAAACCGTTGTTTGGAACAAATTTTGTGAAAATTCGACATTTACATTGTGATTACTTATACAATTGTGAAACTATTACCAGAAAATTATAGATTTTCTAAAATTTTTATACAATATTGTGTGAAAGTTTGTTACAATTTCTTTTCGTTACAAATTTAGGAACAGTGTTTTCCGCGTGTACAGTATGTGCTTCAAAAAAGGATATAATTTCAATCCTGAAAACAATATTAAAGTTTAATCAATTTTAGAAAAAATATTTTATTTACTCTCATGAGTGTGGATAAATATGAACAATACTGTGTGATTTCAGAGTGAAATTTAATGTTCATTTTTTTTTCAAATGATACCAAACAATTAGCTTTATCAACATTAACTGAGACATAATAATATGTACCTATATACAGGGTGTCCCGAAATTCATGCAACAAAATTTGGTCACAGATTCTTAAGACGAATTTAGGCGTATTTTTTATTTTTGCCAAGTGGCCCTCTCTTTCGGAGTTATAGCCCCTTGAAGTCCGTCCATAAGAATAATCTTTTTTTTATCTCAGAACCTTGTTGTACGAGAATCACTAAATTTGGTACACAGGGGTTTTATGACATGCGGAATCTGATAGTGCTACGTTTTTTGGCGGGGAACCCCCCTAAGACAATTTTTCGTGGGCCCCTTGTCTCTGGAGCCAAACAAATTTGGTCGCATATTTAAATTTCTTAAAAATTATCAGTCCACTAGAAAGCCATTAAATTTAGAAACTTTTTGTCCCTTTGTACTTTTTTCATAAAACGCAATGTTTTCGAGAAAAATGTCAAAATGTGATCGAATGCATATCGTGATTCGCCATTTTCATCAAAAACATTGCGTTTTACGAAACAAATATCAAAAGACAAAAAAGTTTCTAAATTCAATGGCTTTCTAGCTAACTAATAATTTTTAAAATAATCAAATTTGCCACCAAATTTTTCTGGTTCCAAAGACAAGGGGGCCCACGAAAAGGTGTGTTAAGGGGGTTTCTCGCCAAAAAGAGTAGCACTATGAGATTCCACATGTCATAAAACCCCTGTGTACCAAATTTAGTGATTCTCATACAACATGGTTTTGAGATATAAAAAAAGACTTCTTAGGGGCAGATTAGATTTCAGGGGGCTGTAACTCCGAAAGAGGGGGCCAGTTGGCAAAAAGAAAAAATACGGGTCCCCTAAATTTGTCTTAAGAATCTATGACCAAATTTTGTTGCATGAATTTCGGGACACCCTGTATATAGATACATATTTTAATATTTACATTGCATGTTGAAGTT